GATGCTGGGGTCCACTTCTGGCCATGTTCAGGGGACCATGCAGTGCTGGGGATGAAAGTGGGGGCTCTCGCATGCAAGGTAAGCACTGCAGCCCATGGAGTTATCTCCTTGGCCCTGTTTTGGCCTTGGAAGCAATTGTGCCTGTCCCTTCCCACTGAACCCAAAGCCTCACCAAGGTCAGGACAGCCTTCTGTACCCCACACAGGGCCTCTGATGTCTGTGCCAAGTTCCTGAGGGTGTCCCGGAAGCTGGGCTCTGGCCCTGGTTTCCCCAAAGCAGCTGTGGGTGCTCTCAGGAGAGCTCAGCTGACCCCGTCTCACCCAGGCTCTGATGCGATCCTGGACCACACCCAGCTCTTCTCTGAGCTGCCACATCACAGGGAGCACTGAGAGCTGCAGAATGGGGCCAACACCCCCAGGGGATACCCTGGATACCCTGCTGAGCTGGAGGAAAAGAGCTTCTTCCTGGGAGGGTCCTGGGAGATGGGCAAGGTGAGGTACCTCCCAGATAAGAGATACCTCCCCAGGAGGAAGGAGCTCTGGGACCTGCTCCCTCTCCTTTAATTTGGGGTGGGGGGGTTACAGCCAGTAATGCTCCGGAATTACTCCTAGGGTGCTCAGGGTACCATAAGGATGCTGGGGATTGAACCTGGGTGAGCCACATGCAAGGCAAATGCCCTCTCCAGTCTACTATTGCTCTGGCCCCTGCCCCCAGCTCCCATCTGTTTTTCCCTCTGCCCTTGCCTCATGTGCTCATCTTTATCCAGAGGACAGAGAGGGGCACACCAAGGCAAGTAGGGTGATGACTGTCAGCTCCACCCCAAAAAGAGCTCCAAGTTTGTAAGGCTCGGTCTGCTCCACACACCACACCCAGGGGTGGCTCGAAGGCCCTAGCCTAAGAATTTATTTTACAAGTAAGATCCCAGATGTGCCAAGGGCTAAGACTTGCTTTGAATCTTGGGTTTGGCCAGAGGCGTGTTGCTCCCCGCTCTGGGTCTCAGCTTTCCCATCTATGAAATAGGTTGGCACGGCTTCCCTTTCCTTTGCTGGGTATGAATAAGATCTGAGGCCTGGAGGAGGAGATAGTGGGTTCATGTGTAATGTGTTTCAAAAGTACAAGACTGGGTCTCAAAGTGAGAGGCTTCTATTCTTTAAAAACCCTTCATACCATGGGCTGGAGAGAGAGCACAGGGAGCTTGACTTAGGGACCAGGGACATAGTACAGTGGGGAGGGTGTTTGCCTTTCCTGAGGCCAACCTGGATTCAACCCCCAGCATCCCACATTGTCCCCTGAGTAATTCCTGAGCGCAGAGCCAGGGGCAACTCCTGGTTATTCCAACAGTAATTCCTGAGTAATTCCAAAAGTAATTCCTGAGTGCAGAGCCAGGAGTAATTCCTAAGCATAGCCATGAGAGGTCCCTAAACCCACAAAATAAAAACAAAATAAAACTTCTTCCCAGGACCTGGCACCTGGTGAAATCTGTATCGCTGGGACAGAGGCTGACTCCCTGAGCCTTCCTCGAGAACGGGTACCCTCCAACTTCCCGGTCATTTCAGGAGGTGCCTAGGCTCCTGAGCCCCAGCCCTTGCCCTAGGAGCCCTGCCCGCCCCACCTGGAGTCTGGTGGTCCCACACTCTCCTGCAGACCACCTAAGGGGATGGAGCACGGGGCAGGTGGTAGCTGAGTGTTCCTGCGGCTTCTCCAACCCCTGGCCATATTGCACACGCTCTTCTTGGAGATGGGGGTTCCCGGGGCAGCCCAGGGCTGTCCCCCAACACACCGGACCTTTACTTCCTCCATGTTGGTAGGACAAGGCAAATGCTGAAGTCGTGGTGACAAAGACCCTTTCTCACTTGCATGGGGGCTCCTTGGCAGTGACTCGGGGAGCAGGGAACCTCTCTCCCTTCACCCTGAGCACCTCATGTCGATGCAGACTTATTCACCCTGCAGCATCCTAAGGACCTGAGGCCACAGGCCTGGCCAGCTCTCCAAGCCTGCTTCCACCTCTTCAGCTTTGTCCTGTTTGTTGGTTCCCTTAGGAAGTGACCCCAGAACACACTGGTAGGGTGAAGGGTTCAAGGAGAGGTGCATAAAACCCCTTTTTTCTTTAGGGCCAGATCCCTCACTCATCTCCAGGGCCCTGCCTCTCAACTGGGAGCTGCCACTGCATTCCCTAGCCCCCATCTGGCCTCCGGGAAGGTAAGGGTAAGACACTGTCACCCGGGGTCCTCCTGACCCCTCTCTGCACACATGCGCGCACGCACACACACAGAGGTCTGATACCGCCTTGAGGAGTGTTAGATTTACTTCCGGTAAGGTTGAACTCTGAAAGTGTGGCACTCTCTGTCCTGCTGAGGGTGGGGGGCAGGGGTGCGGGGGGGGGGCACGTGGTGCAGTCTCGAAGCTGGCAGGCGCTCCCCTCTCCAGATTAACGCCAGGGGGTGGTGTAGCTGTGGAGAGAAACAGAAATGGCACCTCCAGGGCATTCCAGGGAAACAAGGGTGAGGCTTGTTTAGGCCCCAGTTCCTGAAATTGTGGTTTTAACTTAAAATTTGTTTTTTTTGTTGTTGTTGTTGTTGTTGTTAGGGCTGGAGCGATAGCACAGCAGGTAGGGCGTTTGCCTTGCAAGTGGCTAACCCGACCAAACTGAGTTCAATTCCTCCGCCCCTCTCGGAGAGCCCAGCAAGCTACCAAGAGTATCTTGCCCCACGACAAAACCTGGCAAGCTCCCCGTGATGTATTCGATATGCCAAACACAGTAACAAGTCTCACAATGGAGACGTTACTGGGCCCACTCGAGCAAATCGATGAACAACGGGAGGACAGTGCAGTGCTACAGTTGTTGTTGCTGTTGTTGTTGTTGCTTTTTGTTTATTTTGAGGCCATCCCGGTGATGCTCAAGGGTTACCCCTGGCTAGGCACTTAATAATTACTCCTAACTGTGCTTAGGGAACCATATGGGATGCCTGGGTTTGAACCTGGGTCGGCTATGCAAGGCAAACACCCTACCCATTGTACTATCGCTCTGGCCTCTAGAAATTTTTTATTTTTGTAATTTTTTTTTTGCTTTTTGGGTCACACCCATCTATGCTCAGGGGTCACTCCTGGCTCTGCACTCAGGAATTACTCCTGATGGTGCTCAGGGGACCATATGGGATGCTGGGAATTGAACCCGGGTCGGCCAGCGTGCAAAGCAAACACACAACCCAGTGTACTATCACTCCAGCCCCTAGAAATTTTTAATAGATCATTTTATGTATGATTTAATATCAGTCACTGTCACTGTCACTGTCCTTCCGTTGTTCATCAATTTGCTTGAGCGGGCCCAGTAACATCTCCATTTTGAGACTTGTTGTTATTGTGTCTGGCATATTGAATACGTCACGGGTAGCTTGCCAGGCTTTGCTTCACGGGCGAGATACTCTCGGTAGCTTGCCGGGCTCTTCTAGAGGGGCGGAGAAATTGAACCTGGCTCGGCCAGGCTAACTGTGCGCAAAGCAAACACCCTACCACTGTGCTATCATTTTAAATTTGTATAACTATGTTAGATACCCATAGACCCAAGATCCTGGCAAAGTTTTTCTCTGGCAAAAGAGGTTAAAAAAGTAAAAAACGGGGCCATAGATTTAGTATGGTGGGTAAAGCAACTTGCCTTATATACAGCTGACCCGGGTTCGATCCCTGGCACCCCATATGGTCCCCTAAGTATCGCCAGGAGTGATTCCTGAGCACAGAGGCAGAAGTAAGCCCTGAGCATTACTGGATGTGGCCCCATAAAAGAAAAACAAAATTAAAAATAAAATGGAAAAGTGGAAACAGTTTAAGGTTTGGGGTCCTTCCCCAAAACCCTAACTTGCTGCCCTCCAGGCTGTAAGAACACAGCCTCTTCCCCGCCTCTGGCTCAGAAACCTTCAAGCTCTTCCTGCCCCCTATGTTTGCAGCTGCTCTGTGTGATTCACAAGAGAGGTTCCAGTTATCTTCTTTTTTTTTTTTTGTGGGGGTGAGAGGGTCGGGCTGCACTCAGGGCATACTCCTGGCTCTGTGTTCCGGGACCACTCCTGCTAAGATTTGGGGAGCACGTGTGGTGCTGGGGACAGAGACCACGTCTGCCTCCTGCCGGGCAAGTGCCTTGGCCCATGTCTGATCTCTCTGGCCCAGTGCCTGTGGCCATGCTCTGCTTTGCTCATGTGCCACACGGTGGTAGGCATGAAACCCCAGACAGCGTCAGCACTCCCACCACCACGTATGGTGGGAAGAAGAGGCCACGCCCACCTTCCATGACCACAGTCCACCCTGTTGCAAGGGGGGTTGCCTTGTGGGAGAGAGGGTCAGTGAGGGTGGGCCATCAGGATGGACCACTGTGAGTGGAGCTTAGGTCTCCAGGCTAGGGGAGCCTCTGGGCACCAAGACCACACAACAGGTGTGGGGTACAGAGGGAGGGAAGGGAAGTGCAGGGCATGGCATTATGGCATGGCCCAGAGGGGGAAGGCCCAAATATCAGGAGCAAAACACTCCTGCTGGAATCTGCATCCTGAAAGCTCTTGGTTCTTTCTGTGATCTGCTCACTCTCTTGGTTCTTTGTACCCTCCCTGCCTACCCCCCCACCCCATTTTTATTTCTGGAGGGGCACACCTGCTGGTGCTCAAGGCTCTGCACCCAGGGATCATGCCTGGCAGGACATAGGGGGCCTTATAAGAAGTTGGGGATCGAACCCAGGTTGGCCGTTTGAAAGGCAAGCATCTTATTTACTGTACTATCTCTGTCTCAGACCCTTTCTTCCTCTTCCTCAGACCTCATCAGGCCAAATTTTTCTGAGACATACACCTAGTACCTAAGGAAGGGTTTCACTTCCTCCTTGGCTTACTCAGGAGTGTACTCTAATACTCCCTTCCTCCTGGGGACCCCGCAGGTGGAGGGGGGTCTGAGAACTGGAGCAGCAAGGGAGCACCCTGAAAAGTCGGCAAGGCATAGTGTGGCCAGGTGGTACGTGCGGGGCTAGCCTACCTGTAGGCGTTTCCGAAGCTCCGGAAAGTATTCCTGGGAAAGAGGAAGAGTGAGCCTGGTGAACGAGGGGGAGGCGGGAAACTGAAGCGCCACCACCCCCACCCCCGCCCAAATGAAGGATTATTACAACACACCTTCATCCCACTCAGAAAGGGAGGAGAGCCAGGCTGGGTGCCGGGGCTCCGTAATCGGGGAATAAAGCATGTACTGGGTTGGAAACAGGAGTTTCCTTGCGCGTACGGAGCTAAGCCTTTCTTCCCAGGTCTCACACTTTCCAGGGCTTAAAGTCTGGGCTTAAAGTCTGCGCCAGAGAAAGCGACCAGCCCCCACCCTCTCTTCAGGGCTATGGGGCCCAGGTCACGGGCCTCACTTACAGGGATTCATAAGGCAGGGGCTTCTGTCCGTATCGGTCCAGGCTAGAGTTCTGGTTGATGCAGTACTGGAGCGGGCCAAAAGGGATGGGAGTGGGAGGGGTCCATGAGTCCGGTTAGGGAGTGAGACACGAAGCCCCCTCTGACGCCCCACACAGGACCCTCTGCCCTCGGCCTTCTATCCGTCCACCCCTGTCCTCTCCCATCTTCTGGACTCCCAAGTCCCAGGCAGGGTGCCCTTACCCTCCAGTTCTGGGTCAACTCCGGCTTCAAATACCGCACCGCATAGCCGCTGCAACCCCTCACTGCAGAGAGTGTGAGCTCCTGGGGCCTCTGCAAGCGAGGAGATGGAGCCCCGCCCCTCGCGCGGAGCCCCGCCCAAGGACACGCCCCAAGGGCCCTGCCCCATAAAACCCCGCCCCTCAGCGCAGCCACGCCCACAAGAAACCTCCCCTTAAGGAGCCCGCCCCTTAAAGCCATACCCCTAATGTGTAGCCAAGCCCCAAAAGGCTCCGCCCCTCAAGAGATCCCCTAGCCTGCAAAGCCACGCCCACAGTGCGGAGCCCCGCCCCTCGCATGGAGCTCCGCCTAAGGACCCGCCCCTCAAGGAGCCCTGTCCCTTAAACCTCGCCCCTTAGTGTAGCCACGCCCATGATGCTCCGCCCCTCAACACAGCCCCGCCCATGACATGGAGCTCCGCCCCATTTGATTCCTCCTCTGCCCTACTGGGCAGCTCTCCTGGCTAGGCCAGTCTCTGTCCCTTCCCATCCCTGCCCTGCCTTGTCTTTGCAGAAGCCCACCCGATGTTCCTACCCAACAGTCTGCGCTCTCTCCTGGTGTCTGCTCCAGGGACCCAGCTGCAAGGTGCTGTCCCCCCACTAGGTATTTCCCGCCCCCCCTCGCATCAGTTGGACTGACCCCTGTTGTCCGGGCAGGGCAGCTTGAACTCGTCGGTGCAGGACACCAGGCGGGACCAGTCATCGATGGCGTGCGTGAAGGAGGGCCAACTCACCCGGTTGATGCCTGGTATGAGGGGCACCAGCTTCCCCTCGCGGTACCTGTCCCGGAGACCCCGTCCCTCCTTGGTGATGTCCTGCCGGGGTTGGGAGTCAGGGCCGCTCAGTTGATGCGGAAGCCCGGAGGTGCCCACCCCGACCACCCCGTCAGCTGGAGCGGGTGCCCAGCGCGTGGAACAAACTGCCCCTGGGGAGATGGAAGCACGAGGGGGCCCCAAGGAGGCAGCTGAGTTGGTCAGGTAGTTCCAGGTGCCTGGGGCTGGATGAAGCAGCTTCCCCACCACCTGCCACTCACCAAACAGTGTAGGGGTTTGTTGGGGATCCCCAGGAGTGTGAAGCAGGCAGTGTCAAAGTCCTCTGAAGAAAGAAGAGAAAAGGGGCGATGCCTGTGTAAGCTGCCGCAGTTGGGGGTGGGGTGGGCTTGGACCCCACACATTGCTTTTATATTGAAAAATTTTTGACCAAAAAAAAACCTCTAAAGTTTTTACCTTCTACTCTTACAATAAACTAAACAGATCAAAGATTTCTCTTTTCTTTTTTTCTTTCTTTCTTTTCTTTTTTTTAATTAAGAAACCATCTAGGGGCTAAAAAGATAGTACAGCTGGTAGGGTGTTTGCCTTGCACGCGACAGACCCAGGTTCTATCCCCGGCACCCCAGATGGTCCCCCGAGCCCTACCAGGAGTGATCTCTGAGTGCAGAGCCAGCAGTAAGCCCTGAGCATAGCCGGATGTGGCCAAAACAAAACCAAAATAACAATAAAAGTTGTTCATATAATTTAGAGCAGCTTCCTAAAAAGAGAGAGAGAGAGAGAGAGAGAGAGAGAGAGAGAGTGTGTGTGTGTACGAGCAGGAGGAAATATGCAAATACATCAAAATGTTCACTAAAGCTGGAGAAAGGTAAAGGCTCCCCTGAATTATTCTTTCGGGCTTTCTCTATAATTGAATAGCCTTATAACAAAAAAGTTGGAGTTGAGGGAAACAATATATGTTTGTATTTGCATTAGTACACAACAGTAGGATAAGGTGAAAACTTTATGTGATTTCCTATAGTAAGGGAGGAGAAAGACTGCCTACATGTACATACTTACAGTGTTTTGAATTTCTGTTTTTTGAAGGGCACACCCAGTGGTCCCTCAGGGCTTACCCCTTGCTCTGTGCTCAAGGAGAGCTCCTGGAAGTGCTCAGGGGACCATATGTGGTACCGACAACAAACCTGGGTTGGATACTCACAAGGGCAAGCACTCGAGCCCCCGGACTACCTCTCTGACCCAGCATTTTGAGTTCCGAAACTGTGATAACTGGTATTCAAAGCATCTATGTATTTGCAATAAAATTCACGTTTCAGTCAAGGGCTTTCCCTAAAGCCAGGAAATGGGAAGAGCTAGTCTCTGTGTTGCTCCTTCCCGGTAAAGACCAGGAACAGGGAGCCCAGCGCATCCCTTTCCTGTCCCTGCCTACTGCTCTTCAACTGTTTCCTGCCTCTGGGCTGCCCATCTGGGTCCTACAGGGCCGTGTGCCACCTCAGGCCCCCCATAGGACCCCTGATCCTCACACCCCCATCACTGCAGCCAGAGCCTGGGCACCCCCTCCTGCCTTCCTGCCAACAATGTTACCAAATGCTCTTGCTTTATCTTTGTTTTGAATTTGGGGGCTACTCCTGGCAGTGCTCAGGGAAACATGAGGTGCAGGGGATTGAGCCTGGTCCTCCTAAATGCCCTGGCTGGGAGCATGCACCCGGCTTTCACTGAGCTAGCTCTCTGATCCCGCCTTTATCTCTTAATTCTCTCCCCTGACTCCCCCACCTCCCGTCGTCATCGTCGTCGTCCCCCCACCCCCAACACACACACCATGTAACTCTCTGGGTCCTAACCACTCCCCTTCAACCTCTTAGGACCCACCCCTGATCTCTGCTCCTCTGCACTGATACTCACACTTCCTTTCTGCTTAAAGTTTATGGAGGTTTCTATTCCCTCTGGGCAAGTCCTCTGATAAGGTAAAGACTAGTGGACAACAGGGTCATGCATCCCTCCTGAGTTCCCAATGCTAATCACTCCCTCTTGAGCTGTACCCCATCCCAAGCCTAGCTGCAGCTCTCAGAAACCTCTCCCCTGAACTCGGAGGAAACTGGAGTTTTCCCACGTTCCTCCTGCGGCCCTTAGCTCATGCTGTTCCCTCCCCCGCCTGCCCATGCCTCCCTGGGTAGCAGAGTGCCAGGCAGGAAGCAGATGCTGAAATGCACACCTATGTCCAGGCAGCACTCTGTCTCTGCGACCAGCTTCTCAGCCCCAGGAAGTTTATTCTTTGGGCCCCTTTGACCCTTTCATTTGCCGTTCTTGACTTTACCAAGACCTCCTGCTTTCAGTGTGGGGGCCAGAGAGGTGGCCCAGTGGGTTGAGCACGTGCTTTCGATGCAGGAGACCTGGGTTCAATCCCCAGCCACCCCGAAGGGATCCCCAAAGGCTGGAGGGACTTGGTGGCAACTGGGTGCCTGACCTTTGGTGCAATAGGTGGAGGACTGGCAGTGCTCATCCGAGAGGTAGCCACCAACTGAGTCCATGTCCATGCGGCGCAGGGTGGGCAGCTGCGGGTGGTAGAGACACTGCTTCACACTCGCCAGTGGGTGGCGCTGGCGCACGACAGGGAGCAGAAAGACTGGCGAGGTGACCGCGTGGATGGAGCCATCCTCCCAGGGTACCACCTCCAAGATGCGGGCCATGGCTGGGGGACAAAAGACACGAGGAGCTCAGGCCGGTCAGACCCCTTTCTGGGAGTCTGACTGTGGCCAGGGCTGATCTGTGTCTCACTGACAGGTGTGGTGCCTGCTGTGGCCGGAAGGTCCCATCCAGGCCAGGGCTGCTCTCACACACAGGCCAGAATAGGCTGAGGGCAGTGACGGGTCAGTACTGGTGAGGTGGCAAGGGCTGGGCCGGGCTATGCAGAGAATGCGCTAAAAGAGGGGGCTCGATTTTATTTATAAGTAACAAACAGGAAGCAGCAGCTGCCAGTGGGTTCAGAATTAGCTCAGAAAACCTCTGGGTAGGGGCTGGAGCGATAGCACCGCGGGGAGGGCATTTGCCTTGCACACGGCAGGCCCGGGTTCGATTCCCAGCATCCCATATGGTCCCCCGAGCACCACCAGGAGTGATTCCTGAGTGCAGAGCCAGGAGTAACCCCTGAGCATCGCTGGGTGTGCCCCCCCCCCCCACAAAATAAATAAATAAAAACTCTGGGTAGCTAATGATAACCGAGCTCAGGATTCTGCCATTTGCTCCGTTCCACCAGCAGGCAGAGATTTTTTTTATTATTATTAGTGAAACACCATGAGGTACAGTTGTAGATTTACAAATTTTTGTGCTTGGGTTTCAATTATACAACGATCGAGTACCCATCCCTCCACCAGTGCCCATTTTCCACCACCATGAATCCTAATATCCCTCTCACCCCCCATCCCCCCATCCCATCCTGCCTCTGTGGCAGGGCATTCCCTTTTGTTCTCTCTCTCTTATTGGGTGTTGTGGTTTGCAAAAGAGGCAATGGGTGACAATCATGTTTGGTCTATAGTCTACTTTCAGCATGCATCTCCCATCCTGGGAGGATCCTCCCAACACCCTTTATTTGGTGCTCCCTTCTCTATCTGAGCAGGCAGAGAGATTTTTAAGATGCAGGAACGGATGCTACCTTGGGAGCGGTTATCCCGGGGCACTCCTTTCCAAAGTGGGTCTCGGGCCAGGGAAAGGGATAGCTCAGGGCCTGCCTGGAGCTCTGAGTTTGATCGCCAGCACCTGATGTCTCCTGACCCCAGCATCACCCAGCCCTAGTCACACCATAGTCCCTGGACTGAGCTGAGCCATGAGGCCTGAACAGCCACCCCAATGTCACCTAGTGTGACCCACACAAATAGAGCAAAAGAGCAGCCGCTGCAACAACGGCACACAGCAGTTCTTCCCAGAGATGCGGGGGGCCGTGTGGCCTCAGCCAGCTTCCTCCTCACCCCAGTTAGAAGAGGCAGGGGTGGGGACAGTGGGGACAGGCCCTGGGGTGGCCCTCTCTGGGGAGGAATCCCTCTTTGGACCGTGACCCGCAGCTCCCATTCCTCACTACCTGTGTGCGTGGCGCGGCTTCAGGTCCCCCGGCTCGGGGCCACCTTCTGCTCTCTGGCCTGCCCAGTGTGGACAGAGGCCCTGGGGTGGGGCTGGACCCTAACCAGCAGCAGAACAAAGGAGCTGTGTGCCCTGGCGATGCCACTGCACCTGGATTGTGAGGCGCTCCCTGCCCCTTGCCGGCTCAGGAGACAGGGGTAGGAGGGCCCTTGTAGGCACTTTGGGAAGTGTTGGGTCGGGGGCTTCCTGGGGACTGGCCAGTGTGGGCTGCTGTGTAACCCTGGGCGAGGTCCTAGGCACTCTGGTCTCACACTCCCATCTGCTTTAGGCTCTGAACCCCACCAGGTGGCCTGGAGGCCTCTGTGTCCCCTCGGGAGGGGCTGCCCTGCCTTTGAGGCTCTGGGGCGGGGATTTAGGGTTAGCCTGTCCAGCATATGGGGATCAGGGAGTGGTGGCTCAGCAGGACGGGGATTAGCAGACCCCCCCCCCCCAGGCACCTCCCCACCCCGTCCCCTTCCCAGGGCAGCAAGGTCGTGAGTGATTAAGCTGAGTACTCCCTGAGTACTTTCCTTCCCCACCCTTGGTTCCTGCCACTGGTCAGCTGGTCACTGCTTCAGGAGAGCAGTGATTAAAAAAAAAAACCAACGGAAAATAACCAATAATTGCAGCATGTGCTGAAATCGGAATCCTCATTCACTGTTGGTGGGGCGGTCAGCCTGTTCAGCCTCTATGGAAAACAGCAAGAAGACTTCTCAACTAGCAATAAAAAAAAAGTTAACAATACCAGCAATTTCACTCCCTGGCAGCGACCCCAAGAACACAAAAACACTCATTTATAAAGATATATGTACATCTATATTTATTGCAACCCTATTCACAGTAGTCAAGGTCTGGAAACATCCCAGATGTTCAACAACAGATGAGGGGATAAAAAAATTGTAGTCTAGGGGCTGGAGCAATAGTACAGTGGGTAGGGTGTTTGCCTTGCACACAGCCAACCCGGGTTCGATTCTCAGCATCCCATATGGTCCCCTGAGCACTGCCAGAAGTAATTCCTGAGTGCAAGTCCAGGAGTAAACCCTGTGCATTGCTGGGTGTGACCCAAAAAGCAAAAAAAAAAAAAAAAGAAAGAAAGAAAGAAAGAAAGAAATTTTAGTTTATACATATGAGGGAATACGACTCCTCTGTAAGATAAAATCTTGCCTTTTATTACAACATGGGTGGAACTAGAGGGACTTGTTAAGTGAAATAATCAGTACCGAATGATCTCATGCAGATGTGTATAAAGAAACACAAAGGGCAAAGGATAATGAGCAATTCACCAATGAATGAAAACAAACTTTTGGGCTCTGTTAAGACAGGCTGATTGTGCCCTTTTTGAATTTTATATGTAAGGACCTCTGGAGTCTTTTATGGGGGCTTCCATTAGTACTCAGGAAGCTTGGGGGTCCTGCCCAGCAATTCTTGAGCACAGCTGTTCAATATGAGGCTCCAAGGATGTGATACTCAGGGGACTATCTGATGTCAGGGATTGAACCAGAGTCAGGGGCATGCAAGGGATGAATCTTTTTTTTTGGCGGGGGTCACACCCAGCGATGCACAGGGGTTACTCCTGGCTCTGCACTTAGGAATTACCCTGGTGGTGCTTGGGGGACCATATGGGATGCCGGGGATCAAACTAGGGCCTGCCGCATGCAAGGCAAACGCCCTTCCCACTGTGCTATCACTCCAGCCTCACAAGGGGTGAATCTTAACCCCTGAACTACCTTTCCAGCCTCACAGGGGTCCTTGGAATTGGGTCTTTCACTGTTCTGTCCCTATACACAGGACATTTACCCAAACTGCGGTGCGACTGACGTTTGCTTATTTTCTTCACCTTTGGGTCTATTATTACTTACTCAGACCCAACTGCGGTCCCCTGGGTGGTGGGGGAAGCAGCAGCCTCCGGGTGGTCTAGCCTAGGACTCCCACAGGCACGCCCACCCCAGGGCTCCCCTACCACACCTCTCCCCGCTCTCACTGTTCTGGGCTCACAACATGCTGTCTCCAGCTGCTTCTCCCCTTCCAGTTCCTCCTTGACTCATTCCCCTCCTTTTTTTTTATACTGTGACATACAGTTACAAACTGTCATGATTATGCTTCAGTCATAAAAACGATGGAGCACCCATCCCTCACCAGTGCACATTTTCCAGCACCAATGTCCCCAGTATCCCTCCCCCCACCCCCCACCCCATCCCACCCCCTGCCACTAAGGCACGTGTGTTCCTTCTTACTCTCTCTCTCCTCTTGTCATTCCCCTCCTTTGTCAGCTGAGCGATACCCAAGTGCTGCAGGAGTCATTTCTGTCCCTTTCTGTGACGTGGGCTTACCGGGGCTCCACGCAGCCTCCACAAATTGAGCCAGCACCTGTAAGCTTTCCCGTTCCAGCTCATCTGTGCCCAACTGCACACACCTGCAGGCACACGCATGTGCACGCACATACACGAAGCTGCACACGCCACATACACCCATGCCCACATATAAAGTCATACAATGCACACACATGCACATACCTGAAACCACTCACATGCATGCATGTGAACATACACACATGAAGCCACACACACATGGACACACGTACAGGGACACGACGTGTACACAATGCACACACGCAGTTGCATACTCTACATGACACATATAGATGTACACACATGCATGCACACGCAGCCACACATAGCACACACGTACACATCCCATACATACACACACAATGCACACTCCCCACACAGCCACACACATCACACACACACATACACACGCTTGCACACACCACATGTATGCATACACACGCACACACAGTGTTTCCAGCCGCTCTCAAACCCCTTAACAAAGCCAAGTCTCTGTCCAGTAAGTGGCTGCTCCCCAGTCACCCACATTCCCAGGGCTGAGCACCCTCGACTCCCCTTCCTCCCCCTTTCTCCAACCCTTTCTCTCTCCCTCCTGCCAATGCCGACCTAGCCCGGGTGCACCCTCTCTGCCCTGGCCGGGGCCAAGTCAGATGCCCCGTGGCCGTGTGCAGGCCTGGCGGAGCAGAAGGGTGGCTGGTCCAGGGGGGCTCAGAGGAAGTGCCAAGGGCAGGACCCCCTCCCCCCTCAGAGGCACAAACAAGGGGCAGGGGCACCCTGGAGATTGACCACTGGCAGAGTCCTTGCTGCACAGAGGACATTCTCTGGAGGCCTGGCACAGGAAGGGGAGCCCTGGGGTGTCCCAGCCACACATGAGTCACGTAGGACTCCCGGGGATGTGCTCCCAAACCCCACCACACGGAGGGCATCTGGTCCCTCTTGAAGTACCCCAGGTTTCCAGGAGCAAACCCCACCCTGGCCTGGAGGCCCCCCCCCACTCACCCAGGCCACCTCAGCCCTGCTCTCCTCTGCACCCACTAAGCACAGTCCCCAGCCCTTTCCCGCACCTCCCATCACCCATCACCCACTCTGCTTCCTCTCCCCTCCTGCCACGCCCCACACTGGCAACCACAACGTCTGCCTGTCTGCCTGTCTGTCTGTCATCTTTCCTGTCTTGGTCTCCTCCTCCGGGATGAAGCCTCCTGCCACACTCAGGGTCATGCAGGCAGAGT